AACGGAAGAAAAAAAAAATAAAATAAAATAAAATGAAAAATAAATAAATAAAATAAGAATAAAAATTATACGAAGATATAAAAATAAAAAATAAAAAATATACGAAAATCAATGATATTAAGAGGAAATCTAGCTATATATAATCCAAACTATGTACAAAAGTTACAATTACACTCAACTCCGGTCGTCGAGTTGACCTCATCCAGGATTGACTTAAAAATGTTAAGAGATGGAGCTCTCCTTACATAGTCAGGCAGATTGTTCCATAATCTTGAGGTGATGTAATGATATGACCAATGCATAAGTCTACTGTTATAGACAGGCTGATTAAGCTTGCAGAAGCCTCTGAAGTCATATTCATTATTACGAGATAAGAAAATAGGTAAGTAGGTCGCTATATGAGGTTGACTTACCCATGTTCAAAAGAGTTCTAATGGCGTACTGATTAGTAACCTCCAGTTTATTAGAAAGACCAGATGATAACCCAGCTAACACTGGAGCATAGTACTCTAGGTGTGGCAAAATAAAGGCCTTGTAAATATTAACCATCACTTTGGAAGGTACGAATTTACGAACTCTCCTAAGAGCACTAACTTTAACATTAACCTTATTACAAACAGACTTAATATGGGCTTTAAAAGATAGGGAGCTGTCAATGGTTAGACCTAGTAAGTGCATATCGTGTACCACCTCCAAGGGTGGCCTAGTACGGTCAGCAAACAATTCGTAGGATGGCGGATTGTCACCCAATGGTTACACTTTAGTTTTAGATTCGTTTATACTAAAGTAATTACACTTGAACCATGACTGAAGCACATCGAACTTGCTCTGAATTCTTGAATCTAACACATCTTGGTTAGGGTGTGATAGATTCAGTGTCGTATCATCAGCATAAAGCCTTAGCTCAGCATCGTCGACAGAATAAGTGAGATCATTAATGAAGAGGTTGAATAGAAGAGGCACCAATATTGATCCTTGAGGAACGCCGTGTTGGACTGTTTTCCAGTCTGAGTAGGTGTTTCCGATCTTAACACGTTGCAATCTATCACACAATTACGAGCGAATAAGATTTACCGCACTTTCGGTAAAGCCATAAGCTTTCAACTTGGAAATAAGTAGGCTGTGAGAGATTGAGTCAAAGGCCTTGGATAGGTCTACTGCAATCGCAGTACAATGATCCTTATTATTCAGAGAAGCTCTGAAATCAATCCACAAGCTTGGCCATGCATTAATGGTTATGCAGTGGTTTATAAGGTTAGTAAGTGGAACTGTCAATGCCTCAGAGGAAATAGTAAGAACCCTTTGTGATATTTTATCTGGTCCAGTGGCCTTCTTAGGTTTCAGAGAATCTATCAGTTTCTTGACGTAGCCCACTTCAACATGGCGGAAGGACAATAGCAGATGATTACGTCTCCGACTAATTTTATTGACACTAAGGCGATTAGCAAAAGCATGTTCAGACAAAATAGGAATATGAGCAGCAACACCATCTATGAAGTGTCTGTTGAAAATATTACCTATTTCCATGTTGTCAATAATCAACCATCCTTCCTCTAAACGTTGTATATGTTGTTGTTGAGTACTTTTGGAAGGTAATAAAGGCTTGAATTTTTTCCAGAATTCACCAGGGTAGGCACATTCAGCAGAAGCCTGGATGAAATAGGATTTCATAGAAAGAATGTTGCCATGGGTGACCTGTGAAAAAGCCTATGCGTTGATTGTATTATTCTATTTGAAAAGGTGAAGCAGTTTTTATTTCATATTTTATCACCAAACATTAGGCAGCAGCAAGAGAGGATAAAGGGGACATAGAAGGCATCCCCTATACACACCCTATTCCATAGGTAATTCGTCTCGAGTTATTTTTAAGACCATAGATCCCAAGGGGGATTAGACATCAGCCAATTACATAGTGCGAATATGTTCCGCGTGAATGACCCATGCTCAGAGCCACGCGTCCTTCACGAATTGACGCAGAAAAAAATGGAAGAAGACAAGGAGAGCGATATTGCTATTTCTTTTGTCGACGGAAACGACTAAAGAGAGATTTCTGTTAAAGCTGTGTCAGCGAAACGGAAATTAAAAGAGAATCGCCCTTCCTCTCTTGTATAGAGCTAACAGTACGGCAGGGAAATCCTTAACACACTGAATATTCTCTCAGGATCATTTATAATTTACAGTTTGAGGAGAGCAATTTCTGGTTTGATATTTATTCTTTTATTAGTCTTTTATATTCAACAAAAAATAACACTTGGCGTCCTACTTGCTTTATTATACAAACGACCGGTTTCAACAGACTGGGGAAATTTCTCATTTTATTAAAACACTGAGGTTACGACAACTTCGAGTTAAACTAACTTCACGGGTTGTCAAAGAGTCCAGCGATTTCCTTTTCCCAGGTGAGCGCCGACTCAGTTCGCTTCAATATTCAGAATGCTCTCTATCTCTTTACGCTTTCATTGCCTTTCGCCCGACATGTTTTGCACGGCGTTTAGTCATGCGAATGGAGGTGCTTTGTAGGTGCGTCGCGCGCTCCATTGAAATAGGGCTAAGATTTTTATTGAGCTCTGCTATTACCTATGGAATAGGGTGTGTATGGGGGATGCCTTCTCTGTCCCCTTTATCCTCTCTTGCAGCAGTCAGTTTGTCTATAAGTTTAAGTTTAGCACTATCTTGTTTGAACGTGTGATTGTGGTTAACGAGGGGTAGCTGTTCTAAGAGCTGAAAATGTTGCCTTGAGTATATTGCTTAATTAATGGTTTTAAATAATCTTCAAAGAACTCTTGTCCTCTTGATCCCATCGCAACCAAACTTGTTATTGAATGCCTTGATGTGCTACTGCCTTCGATGATCACAAGAATATTTAAACTTTCTCTTTATTCTGGATACTTTCCCCGTGCTTAAAAGCGTGCTTTGGTACGGCCCCTGTTAAAGAAAGATGGTTTAAAACTCGTCTTTAAACATTACAGGCGTATGTTTCAAAACTTGTCGAGACTGCAGTTTCTAAGCAATTACAACATGTTGGCCAATAATCTGTTTTCAGCGTCACAATCAGCATATCGTCCGATTCACAGCACAAAGACTTCATTGCTGAGAGTCACCAAGGAGATTTTTCTTAATATGGAGAATCAACGTGTTACTTTGCTTCTGCCACTAGACTTAAGAACCGCTTTTGATACCGTTGATTTACTCTCTTGCATCGGCTCCAGTTTTCATTTGATATCCAAGGAAAAGTTCTCTCTTGGTTTAAGTCATATTTGTCGGCAAGTATTTATCAATAACATACTCTCTGATGAGTTCGGCTTGGAATATGACGTGCCTCAGTAGGAGCGTACCGTCCACACACGCACATACGCCTGTGCGTACTTGTACAGCTGAAATATGGAAAAATTATATACTTTTTATTTCCTCGCATTTTTTCGCACGATATTGTCGTTTATATTCCATAATTATGATGACGTCTCTGGCCTCTTTTTTCCGTAAACACTGTACCCTGTCGACAACACTAGAGATGGGTAAATAAACAACTTACTACTGCACTTTCCTGCGTATTAATTTACTAAAAATGTGCGGAAAACGCTGGAAATAGCATTTCCGAGACCCTAAAGTGAAACATTTTCTGGGGGAGCATGCCCCAGTCCCCCCTAGGTTAGGCCACTTTCGGCACTACAACGTTTCTTCCCACGCTTGCGTACACCTTCAAAATCTCACGCTATGCTCCAGGGTTCCTGTCTAGGTCCCATACTGTTTACACTGTATACGAGTAAGTTCTTTGAGTTTGCCAAAACTCATCTGCCTGAAGTTCATTGTTATGATGATGATAGTCCTAAGCTTAAGTCAGCCTTAAAAAAGCATGGAAAATTGCTTGTCGGATATTCGTTTGTGGATGTTGAATGACAATCTTGAATGGAATGACGACAAAACTGACTTTCGCATTACTGGCACACCACAACAGCTGGAAAAGGTCAACATCACGAGTTTCCACATAGGGAACTCCGACATTCATCGCGTTCCCACTGCAAGGAATCTCGGTTCATGGTTTGACTGTAGGCTGTCCATGTCGAGGCATGTTATAGAGATCTGCAGTTCTTCATTTTTCTATTTGTACAACATACGCCACATCAGGAATTATCTCTCACAACGCCAACCGAGACACTCCTTCATGCATTCGTATCCAGTTGTCTTGAACACTGCAACTGCCTATTATATGGCCTGCCTGGTTCTCACTAATTAGCGACAACGTGTACAGAATGCTTGTGCTGATTTTTAATGAACACAAATTTTGTCATATACGCCCCTTATTATACTGTTACAGTTAACGTTACCAGTTGCACTGGTTACCAATTGGATTTAGAATTGAGATTAAAATTCTTTTGATTATCTCACTTTTAAGATTCTTCACGGCTTAGCTCCGTCTTATCTCTTTTTCCTCTTGGGCGTCCATCGAGATATAATCTTAGGAACTCAAATGATAATCTTTTACTTAGTTGTCCCAGTTTCATATCCAGGGCAACACTTGCGATAGGTCCTTCATTTGCGCTACTCTAAGGCTCTGGAATCCTTTGCCATTCGATGTCAAATGCGCCAAGTTTGTTGATGTTTTTAAAGAAAACCTTAAAACACACTTATTTACTTCAGTATTTTTATTATCATAACTTAAATCTATCTTTTTTTGTATTTTTACTATATATTATCATATTGTACATTTTTAAATTTAAACTACTATTTTTATCTATTTTAATTTCAGTCTTACTTTCTAACTGACTGTCATGCGCATTTGAACATTTTTATGAAACGTTGCGCACTAAATGTATTATTGTTATTTATTTTGAGATCAGTTCTGCTGCAGTTAGTTTGACGCTGACTGCCCAAAAGGCAAAGATTGACTGTACTGTAGACGCTTTAGAACGGAAATAAATTCTGACCTAGTAATTTGCATCATAAGTGTTGAGTTTTTTGTCCTTTTTTCTTATTTAGCTTAGTTGTCTACAAGCCAAACAATGAAGAACGTCTTGATGATACTGGCTTTAATAGCCATAGTTGCTGCTGTGCAATCCATGCCTGCTGGTAAGTGCTATGAGGACAAGAATACTGGTCAACTATGGCAAACTATTTTTTTCATGAAATAACATTCATTAAAACAGCTTGATTCGTTCCTTGATTGGCCTGGCAATTAAACATACTTAATAAACTAAGGTTGTTAAAGCGATCTAACGTTAACCTTTTTAACAATAAAGTATGAATTCGTTTATCAGAGTATTTCCAACAATATCTGGATAAAACTCTACTAAACTTGATGTTAGGCTCTTGTATCATGTGTATCAGGTAACTATTGACTAAAACTGTTTGTTTTTTAGACACTCATGATGCAAAGGCTCGTAATTACGTTCCAGAAAGCGCTAATGCTACAGACCCAGGAGCAGCTGAGCCATCAGAGGCTGACAACGATTCAACTCAGAGTGAACCTGAGCCCACTAGTGAGGAAGCCAGCAGTGATGTAACGGAACCTAAGGAAGACGAAACAGCAGTTGCTGATGACAGTAACGATGACGATCTTGATGACGACAGCGTTGACGACAATGACGAAGATGACGAGGAAGATGAAGATGACGAAGATGATGAAGATGACGAGGATGATGAAGACGATGAAGATGATGAAGACGATGAAAGTGATGGCGATGATGAGGACGACGGTGATGATGAGGATGATAGTGACGATGAAGATGATGGTGATGACGAGGATGATAGCGAGGAGAGCGATGATGAGTAGTTACAACAAAACTACGTGGATTTTGTGTTTAACGAGCTCTCCAAGTGTACAAAAGGCCTATATGTATGATGCACCTTTCCTTTGTGAATCGCATAGTGTGATTCAATAAAAATATGATTTATTGTAGTGTTAAAAAGGGTACGCTTTTTTCCCCTTTTTCTTTTGCATCTAAAAGGTTGGGCAGTTAAATTCGTTGCTTTTTAATACTTGCTTGTGCTTTAAAAGAAATGGCCTCTCGCATATATACTTTCTACGAGACCCAGATGCAGTTTTGTTTGTCTGCTGGCAATGTTTACGAGGAGAAAGCGCTAGGAACTAACTGTCGCCAAAACAGAAACTTTGAGCTACCTGCCTCTCATTGGCCAATCAGCAACATGCAGTTGTCGGTCACTTCCGCTCACTATACACCAACACCGGATAGGTTCGTTCTTCATAAAGTTGAGTTTCATCCCGGCCCCTTTGTCAGATAAAATCAAGGAATTGTGGGCTGTGTGTGGTTTATACGTATATTGAATGGTGGGGGTACGTTAACTATTGATGCAAACATGGTAAGACAAACATGAAAGAAAAAAAGAATTAATGATGAGATCGAGAGCGCCAATTTGAAAAAAACATCATTCCATATTCTCAATTTTTAGACGCCAACAAATAAGAGGATATGTATCAGGTTTTTTAAAAACGTGGCTAGACCGACTTTGTAGTCAACACATGGGTCAACAATGTGCTCAGAAGATAAATTGACAGTAAGCACGACACTATTCAAAAACTCCACAATTCACCCATACATTTCACCCTTCACGCTGTAAAAGGTGTCTTTTTCAAAAGGCTCAATTTGCTCCAAAATGATCGAAAAAACCAACGAAATATTTTCACATTTCCCTTTTGTTTCATTTTAACATGACAAAACATAGTCAGCATAGCGTTCTCTACCAGACACTTTTGCACGCGCGTGCACATGATGCAATAGACTTGCTACAGGCCAAGCCCACAAGAAGTCTTCCGAAAGTGTAAAATGCAAGATTTGTCGTCTCATTTTCTGGGTGGATAGAATTCACGCCAAAATAGTCTGTTAAAACCACTGAACAGTTTTTATGCATTTGAGCAAAATGCCCTTTTAAGTCACATAGGTATGAAGGGTCACATGCGTACAGGAATATCGCTGATCATAACACAACAATACAAACAACACAAAGAAAAAGGGTTTCTGCAGAAAACAATCAAGCATCCAAAAAATGCTATGTGTGAAACTGAAAACAGTTAATGTTTGCAAATGTCAAACATTGGCCTTGAATCATATGGTCGCCGTGAAAAGAGAATAGTTGATGTTCAATGTCCACAAATGTAAAACATAGTCCTTAAATCGTAATGGCCTCCGTATGACCCTTCCACTCCTAGTCTTGTATTGCTCTGACGTGTCCATAGAGCGATCGCCTGAATGATTTCTCTCTTGCTCTTGGGATGCTAAGACAGGTTCCTCCACTACAGGGTTTGCTTGACTGACTTGTTCCCTGCAAGGTGAATTTCCATTTATACTCCCTGATGGAGGTTCATGAAAATGTGAGTCATCTGTCGATGCAGGACCACGGACTGGCAGTTTCATCAACATCTTTCTATTTCTGCAGTATTCTTCACCATTATCTGTTTGCACTTTGTAAGACCTAGGTGTTTCTGCATGGTCCACTACCAACCCTGGTTCCCAGCGATTTCCCATGCGTACCCTGATCTGCTCGCCTTTTTCTAAAGCTGGTAGCTGTCTGGTGTGCTGATCAAAATATTGCTTCTCTTGCTTCAGCCTTAACTTCTCCTTTACTTTGTTTGGATCCAGGACTCTGGGTTGCAGTTGAGCTTCAGTCGTGGGGATAATTGATCTGAGACGTCTACTCATGAGAAGTTGCGCTGGTGAGCCGACCTCATCACGGTTGTCTTGCTTTGCTTTGGTTAGCAGATTCTTTATCGTTTGAACTGATTTTTCAACAAGCCCATTTGCTTGTGGGTAGAGTGGACTGGTGGTAGTGTGTTTGAATTCCCACTGTTTCGTGAATGACTCAAATTCCTTGGATGAGTACTGAAGATCATTGTCACTAATTACCTCACATGGTATTCCATGACGCGCAAAAGCAGATTCGATATGGGTGGTGACCGTGTTACTTTAGGGGTCTGGAAGTTTGGCTACTTCAAAAAATCGCGAGTGGGTATCTACAATAATGAGGTATTCTGATTTATCTCAGGTGAACAGGTCTGTTGCTACCTTTTCCCAAGGTTTGTTTGGTAATTAGGAGGGAATCATTGGCTCCATTTCATTTTGCTTTTGGTGTTGTTGGCATATACTGCATCTTGAAATCTTTTCCTGAATTTCAGAACCCATCACAGGCCAGTGTAACACATCTCGTGCTCGTCGTCTGGATTTCTCTTTGCCCATGTGACCTTTATGAATTCTCTCTAACATTTCCTTCCGCATAGAGGTAGGAATAAGAATTCTTTCACCCCTTAGAATGATACCGTTCAGTTCAGACAGTTCATCTCTCACGTCCCAATACATGCGGGTACTGTTACTGACACAATGAGGTCTTTCAACGACTCGTCTTTGGCTGCTTCCTCTCGTAGTTCTTCAAGTTTGAGTTTTGAGACTGGCAGGCTTGACTTTATCAGATGAACGTGTAGTGCAATTTCCTCTTCCATGTTGTTAATATCTGTTGTATCAGGGAGCAGTGCGCGAGACAGCATGTCTGGGAGTACTAACTCCCTTCCGGGCTTCTATTCTAGTGTGTAGTCGTACTTTTGCAATCTGAGCAGAATTCTTTGTAGTCTGGGTGGTGCTGTCGCTAAGGGCTTCTTCGCAATGATTTCTATGGGTTTGTGATCTGATTCTACGTGCACTGTCTTTCCACACGCGTATTGGTTGATTCGCTCCAGGCTAAACTGAACTGCCAAGCAAGTACGTACGCGTCTACAGATTGTACGGGTGGGGTAGGGGAGACTATCAAAAGGAAGGGAGGGGTGTCAGGCGTGTCTTGGCAAATCCACATCTTTTATATTGGACATTTGCGATATGGTCAATTGACAGCTTTCAAAACAGGATAGCCACTGACCAGTATCACTGAACTAGCTGTTAAGCGTGCGACTGGGTTGAGTCAGATTGTCAAGGTTAATACTAGAGACTCAGGAACCTTTGATTGGTGTTTGACTAACCACCCGAAGCTTATGGATTGTCCCAAACAATTACCTAAGCTGGGATCTACCGACCACTATACTGTTTTGATTCACCCGCCCCAGTCCTCCTCCACATCTAAAAACACAAAAATAGCTGTCGGAAGGCGTGATTTAAGAGCTAGCACTTTGGTCAGTGGATTACCCAACAGTCATGGGATGATGTGATTAGTACTACCCTTGTCAATGAGAAATTTGACTTCGTTATTAATACTCTCAAGGATGCTGTTGATAAGTTTCTGCCGAAAGGAATAAACTTATGTTTATGCATCGGATAAACCATGGATAACTGGGAAAATCAAGTCATTGATAGCAAAGCGTCAAAAACTTCTCAAGTTTGGAAAGGACTCCCCAGCGTATAAGGAAGCACGTAATGCCGTACAAAAGGAGTGTGAGAACTGTAAAAAGTGCTTTTATGACCGGAAAGTTGCTAAACTTAAAGAAACCAACGTTAGGCGGTGGTGGAAAGAAATCAAAGGCCTTACTGGGCTGAGATGTTCGGAAAGTTGGGTGCAGCAAATGCTTGGAGATCAATTAGAGTCCACTGAGTTGCTGGCTAACAGCATCAACACCTTTTTGGCTGGTGTTACTGCTGACTTTGTGCCGTTGCCCCAAATTATCCCTGGTTCATTTTTCCCGGTCCCTGAACACCTACTGGTTGACACACATATGGTATACAAGGCCCTGAGAGGTATTAAATCGAACAAGTCAGGGGGGCCTGATCCCATCCCGGGGAAAGTCTGGAAAGAGTTTGCTTTTGAACTTTCACCAGTCATCACTAATATCTATAATGCCTCGATGGTACAAGGATACGTCCCTGTGTTTCTTAAGCAATCCGAAGTGGTCCCTGTACCAAAATATTCGCCACCCAAAGTAGTTGAACAAGATCTTCGGCCTATTTCTCTCACGCCCCAAATTGCAAAGGTCATGGAAGGGCTTACGCTGGATTCCCTCTTCAAGCAAGTCTGTGACAAGCTCGACACCCACCAGTTTGCCCTGGCTGAGAAGTCCACAACCCACGCTCTTGTTTTCTTCCTCTAAGTCATCCTTGAGGCCCTTGACCAAGGTGACAGTTATGCACGCATCTTCTTTACTGATTTCAGTAAAGGTTTTGATTTAGTCGATCACAATATCCTTATCCAAGAAATGGAGCTGCTCGGCGTGCATGAGGCCACTATCAGATGGATCGGCTCGTTTTTAACCGACCGTTCACAACGAGTGCGAACCGGTCAGGTTTATTCGCATCCAGTTACACCGAATGGGGGAATACCACAAGGAACAAAACTCGCGCCATTGCTGTTCGCCATATTAGTGAACAATCTGTGTAGGGACTGGAGATATAGGATTAAATACGTTGATGACACCTCGGTATTTGAATCTATTCCTCGATGTTCGCCTAGCTACCTTCCATTTATCGCCGCAAATATTAACACCTACGCTTCCATGCGTAACATGCGGCTTAATTAGAAAAAATGTAAAGATATGGTTATCAATTTTTTGAAGTACCAACCCACTGTTATAACGCCGATTCAGCTTAATGGGATAGTCATTGATAGAGTATCTAGTTATAAACTCTTAGGGGTTATTATTTCTAATGACCTCTCTTGGAACGAACACTGTGACAGTATCCATAAAAAAGCTACTAAGCGATTGTTTGTGCTGCGGACCCTCAAGAGAGTTGGATTGGGCACTAACGATCTCGTGTTAGTCTACTGTAGTATTGTTAGATCCATTGTTGAGTACGCCTCTCTAGTTTGGGCTGCGATCCCTTTATATCTTGATGAGTTAATTGAGTCTGTACAGCGGAAAGCCCTCAAAATAATATTTGGCCAGGTAGACTATGCGGAAGCCTTGGAGTCTCTTAGTGACAGGAGAGTAGGAGCTTGTAAGCGGTTTATGGCTACTGCACGCCAAATGTCCCCCCTTAAGAACATCATCCCCTGTCCTGCCGCTTTTGAGTCTCACTACAGTATGATGGTCCAACTTCCAAGACGTCAACATGGTCATACCAGAAGAATTAATGACTTTGTAACTTATAAATTTCAGTGAATGTATGTAAATGGTTAATTGTATGTGACAATGACCTTCCCCAACAATTCAGTTATTGCTGCAAGTGGGTGAAATAAACAGAATATCTATCTATCTATATCGCGGGCTCATGTGTCAACTCATCGAAGTGACGTGATTTATTTGGAAGCTGTCCGCTGACCAGCTAATTGTTTTTCTAAATCGCGATCAATGTCCAATATCATTCTTTCTAGCTAGTTTGGGAGCACTTCTGATAATGGACACATATTGGACATCAATGTTGTGATCGGGGAGCGTGATGAACTCGTCAATCGCTCCTATGGGGATCGCGCGGCGGATGATCTTGGCCATCGTGACGTCTCAAGAAATTTATCCCGGGAACTTAAATTGGTTTATCGCGCGAAATTGTTTCGTGGTTGCAAGGGGTAAAAGTCGAGACGTTGCGATGAAACGACCGAAGGTATGTGTTTACCTATTAATGCTATATAGCAATATTGCAATTTATTCTAGGAAAGAGCATTTTCGTCGTAAAAAATGAAGAACTTCCCGAGATCGACAAGATGATACAACTGATACCGGCGCGTCTTTAGAGACACATAACTAAAAAGCCCAGCAGAATTTAGTCTCGAGAAAAACAAATGACATTAATATGGTATAGGTCTCTCAGTTAGTGGTAGAAGTGAGTCATCTAATAAGTCAACCTCGTCCCCAAGGCTTTTCCCTTAAAAAATGGGTGGGGCGGGAAAAAGCCCTGGCATCGGCTGGTCACGTGTACAGCCTAAATATTCATAAGAAGCTAATTTACATGAAACCCGCTGGTTTTGCGCTGACAAAATGTCGAACGGAGCAACAATGGAAAATAATAACATCGCGAACTATGTCAATATTTTCGCGTGTGTACGATTCAAAAGCTTAAGATCCATTTAATTGCGTATTATTCAAATGCTGCAAGTTTATGAAAGCGCGTACCGGCTGTACGTTGTCACGTACAAAATAAGTCAAATGCTTCAGAGTTGAGACAAGCTGTTGTCGAGTGGTACTTCAGAAAAAGTAGCACTGACACCTTAATGACATGCTAGTTCGCCTTTCACTAAAACAGGTTACAGTTTGTTTTTACGCCCGGAAACGGAGGTCCTAGACGTCACTTAAATTTGTTTAACTTGAATTAACTTTATGAATAGGTCATCAAAATGCTTTATGGAGTCTGGTCTTCTCTACAACCCGACCATGAAACAAACAAATCTCCGCACCGGATGCAAGTCAGCCCTCCAGCCAGGAACGATGACAGGCCGCCGATTTGAAACATTTGAAGACCTCATATCTTTTCTCTTCCGAGGATAAGTACAAAGGATTTTCCTTATACACTATTAAAGGGAAGATTGACCGATCGCCTGGAATCAACTGCAGCTCTGTGAATTTTAAATGGACCCAAGTCTTTGTTTTTTGCCATTCGTCAATGAGGTCGCAGAGGTCAATGAATTTTTTAAAAATGCAGGTCATACAAGGTCATTCTAAACCAACGCGTGTCTTTATAATATGGCTGAGTGTTAAGGTAAATAGAACTAGGCTGTGTACGGCAGTCCACTTCGCGAGAAATGAAATAAAATATCAAAAGAGTCGCGGAAACGGACTTTTCCAGTACAAACTTTATGCATGAACGATAGCTTGTTTGTCATTTATGTGTACTTATATCGCTCTATAAACGTTGTTATAAATGTTACTCGCTGTCCCCTTTATAGAAATCTGAGGAAAGCAAAAAAAATACCATGGCCGGTATCTGTGACAAAAAGGAAATCTGGTAAAACTTTTCTTTAATCGTCAAGAGATATGAAAGGCCACCCAAGGTCGCTCGCTGTGAAGTTGCGCATAATTTTAGCTTTTCACATAGCGTTAATTTATTACACCCAGGGTTTTAGGGTGTACGAGGAGACACGTGACCAGCCGATGCCAGGACCTTTTCCCGCCCCACCCATTTTTGAAGGGAAAAGCCCCGGGGACGAGGTTGCTAATAAGTTAGCAAAAATGATCAGTGGTATAAAAGTCGCAAACCACAGAGATGTTACAAAAATTGCGAAAATGGCGTAGACAGGTCACGAAACATAGCGTCATGATGTTCATACTAGACTATCAAATTGTCTAAACAATTTGTTAAAACTAAGCAAATGTAAGAAAGGAAGTGTTTTTTTGATAGAATTTGGGCTATAATCTTCAAGAATTTTGAAAGGATTTTCTTTTTGAGTCAAACGTATCGAAAAGTTAATAAAGCGTATTAAATCAAATCGTCGCGCGATAACCAAGGATATTATTATAGCTTAGTATACTGCAACGTTTCACTATAAATTACGATAATTACGATAATTACGAAAAACATTCATTGCTCATGATGGAGATAAGTTCACATTGTCTTTCTCTTTGCTTCTTCGCCCCACAAACAAAGGAAAACATGGTTTTTATCCTGTAAATAGTCAAACAGAATCTATCACCAGGGTAAAGTGCCGTGAGCTAAAGTTTCTGATCAACATCAACATTTTTAGGGCTTTATGCAGAGAATCCAGAAGGAGGATCCGTACAAAGGATGGGTATGTAGCTTTGCCTTAATCGCTTTACAGAGTAAATAAAAAGCAAAAACTAGAAAAAGCCAAGAAAACGGACACCAGTAAGCGTTTCAATGGTATAATATTGAAAATGTGTTTCCTCGGGCATCCGCATGTTAAAAATGAGAGGGGAAAAATTGCTAAGGATATAAAAAATTGCAAAATTTTCATACGATGAATAGCATCACTCTTCTCACACTTTTTCAATATAAAAAGAGACTTTTTTCTGTCACATTTTTTCAGTTTTCCTTTCTGTGTAGTTCAATAAAGACACAAAAGTTCAAGAATGACAATATAGTTCAATAACAACTACACGAGTTCAGAAAATGACACGAGCATTAATGTATGTTTATTATTATGTATTGTTTATTATGTCAAGGCAGGGGATCTATTGGGAGTGGGAGTGCAGGGAGTGCATCAGGGAGTGCATCAGTTTAATTTTCAATCATTTATGCTTTTAAACTTGATTGGACTCTACGATATTGTCAGTTACATCAAGTGACACTGTCCAGTTCCAACAATCTTTGGGGCCTGCTCGTACAGTTTTATCACCCAGCTGATGTAGCTTTGTGGTAATTTCTCGGTAGGCGTAACTTAGAAAAGACACAATAGTTCCATGACTATAGGTGGTCCATTATAATAGCTCTAAAGCCCTCTTTAAAATTTGCTGTTGTACTGCCTCTACTAATATATTTCACATAGCCTTTCCGTTGCTATGCTATGATTACAGTTAGGTTGACAAGTAATCATTTAGCTATTGGTTTAAGATTAGAAATCCGTCTTTGGATTATCTTGATAGGTTGCTTGTAGTTACAAGAATTTAAAATTCAAGGGATATATATTTTTCACTGTTGCTTGTGGGAGGGGAGGTGGTGTTTGTGGTTTAACTCACCTATATTAATGTGAAGTTTAGGAAGTAGGTGAAGAAAACCATTATAATATCTGTTTTAAGAGATGTTTAACAAATAATTAGGGATTTGAAGTGATAATATTGCCTTTGTTTATTAATTTTATTTGTATATTCAATAATCTATTTTTATTTGACTGATTTGAAATTAGGTGCTTTCTTGATTTGGAATACTCTGTAGATGGTGAGGAAAAACGTGCAGTGTATGGTGGAGGAGGTGCTGCTTACCGGATGTTTGCAAAGATCTAGTATAGTGTGATAGATTCCCCGAAGAGGGTAGTGCAGTGCGGGAAGTGGAGGATGTTAGCGATGGAGTGGATTCCATGGAGCAAGAAGAGACCATACAGGATACGAGAATTTAGAAGAACCAGTTTCTTTTAATTGTTTATATACTGAACAAATGAGTTCTCGTTCTTGCATAACAGGTCTGACTTAGACTTGTTTACATTTAAAAACTTTGGACATTGACTTTGATAAAAAGAAACGGTTTGTTATCAATAAAATGTTCTTACGCTGGTGTTTTTCTTAACTTCTTCTTTTACTTTTTCGTCTCTTGTAGAATTTGGTTAGCAAAGCAGTCTAGCTGCCCTGCTATTAGTTACAGTTGGGCAGCTACCCGCTTGGCCTCTATTACTGGGTTTTTAATTTCTTTTGCTTTTTGTTTTAACCTTCCTTCTTTTCCTTTGAACTCTTTCTCTTCTCTTTCAATTTCCTTTCTCCTCTCCTCAATTTCAATGGCTGCCAGGCAGCTCCTTTTTTCTATTTCTTCCTCTGGGGATAGCTGTAAAAATGAGTAACCCACCTATAATACTCTGTCTATTATTGTTAACTTATCTTACCCCGGTCTCTATGATAATAAAATATGATGAGCTCATCCTTTAAAACAAAAAGTATCCTATCTCAACAAAATGTTGAAAGCCTTGTCTCATCAGGAGCTCAGAAGGCAATCAAGGAAACAGGTCAGGGTAGGGGAGGTAAGGTAAACGCAAATAAAAATAGCCGCAAAGGAATGGGATGGGTTTCGGAGAAAAGGCCTATTTCCATACTTTTCGACGCCATTATGGTAACATTTGGCTGAGCCCTACGAGCCTTTTATTACTTTTAAGATGCCTTTTGCTTTCCCAGAAAACCGTGAGATTGGGAGTCTTGCCCTATCAGCACTTGGCGGGTATTAACGGGGGACTTAATGAGTTACAGTATTTTCTCATTTCATTTTTGTTTGTATAAAGCTTGTTTTACTTAATTGATTTCTTACAATTCGAGGTACAATCCGCCTTTTATTTGAATTGTGCTTAGCTCCTCATACAGCCCTGCCAACCCCTGATAAAGGAAAATCTGGAGACTCATGGAAAAAAATCGGAAGATTCTACAAAAAGAAGTGAGATTCTATTTTTTCCCGATCAAAATTAAACGAATCCTTTTCCATTAGGGGAATTAACTGTCTATTTTAATATAACTTTGCTTTAGTGTGGTCTCTCTTGTAACAAATTAGATGCCACTTTTTCTTTGATGACTTTAAGAGGCCATTAAAATAGGTCATCACTGGGACGAAACATACAGCAGAGTCATTTCTTTGGGCTGAGACAACTTCATGGCTAAAATAGTCAAAGCTTATCCAGGCACAAGAATTTCCCACAAAATTTCTGTTTTTATTCAACAAGGTAATATTTCATTTTAGAATGATATTTCTCAGAAAACCATGACATTGGGAATCTTGTCGTGTGGCTGTGAGAAAAAGTTAAAATCGTGAGACTCACGGCAGAGTTGTTAGAGTTGGCAGGTCTGCCTCATATGACATAGCCTGCGAACAGCAGACGCATTTCCGGTCGTCGCTTCGCCCGTCCGAAAACTAGCGTCTGCGAACCCGAGCGGCAAAACAATTTCCGTGACGTGAAACCTTTTGTTTTGATGTTGGCCAATCAGAGCAAAGGATAGAATACAGCTCGAGTGACTCCTCGCGACCTCGCGCGCTGACGCGTCTTGGATTTCGGCGAGAGTTACCAAATACGCTTTGGAACGTGAATTTCGCGACCATAACAAGGTTTCCTGCGACGTTGAATGCTGACTTCTTCATGAAGCAACTGCTTCTTAAGCAATGTATGTGACGTTGGCCTTTTGTTTCGCTTTATGAAATACGGTAGTACGTGACATAAAAAAAAACTGGACAAAATAATCGCTACAGCGAAAGGAAAGTAATATCGCGCTAAGACTTATTTATTTCAATTTCATGACCTGCGCTGACAAAAGGTGGTGAATCAATTATAAAGACACATCCACGATTGATTCAGAAATCTCTGACAATCGCTCGTTAATAATTCTAGTATCGCAATAACACAATGATCTGAAATATTATAAACTAAACCTGGGCCAGACCCAGCGTGACATAAATAGTTACAGCAGTAATTTGATCATGATCAAGATGACATTTCAGCTATACGACGCTTCGACTCATCTCAGAAAAAACTATGGAAGTTAAAACCTTAAAAAGAACATGATTTTAAAGAAATATAAGAACGAATATAAAATGCTTTCGATGCGATCAAAGTTCTATCTGAATCAAGAAGCAACCACGCTGGGAAATCAATTATCACGCGTCCTAGCTTTCAAAGATAAAGGTTATCTAGCCTACTCAAAAAATACAATGTCTAAAACAGCACACTGCCAGGAACCAGAAAGAAACAGAAGCAAGAAACGGCATGATGCGACTACTGTCATTAGGACATTTATCGTTTCGAATATGATCAAAACAACTAGGTGTGATAAATCATTGACTCAGTGGGCAAATAGATAAAAAAATGTCCTCAAATCTTTTCTTCGATGTGAGTCCTCTTGATGCTTATTTCATCAATCAGTCCAACGATCCTGGCAAATTAACTTTCGTAAACTCGTCGATCTGAGAAAAAAGGGTGGCTATACACAAGCTATTTCGACTTGTAAACATATCCACCGCACTCGATCTTGCGAGAAGTCTCGCGAGTAAGTTCCTTGATTTTAGGAGCTAAATCGTGATTGGCTAAAAAGGTTTTACGTCACGGAAATCGTTTTGCCGCCCGGGTTCACAGACGCTATTTTTCGGAGGGAGAGAAGCGACGACCAGTAATGCGTCTGCTGTTCGCAGGCTACATATGACATTCTCTATCGAAACCTGTATATAGTAGAGGAAACTTTGTATTAAATGGGCACTGGAGCATTCTCTGAGGTGTCCGCTTAAATTATACAAGTTTTACTGTACATGTTTGACTCCATTCGCACTAACTATTGATGTGAAACGATATGAAATTGCTCAATGCATAATAGATGTACATGTTTGAAGATGTTTTTAAATTTAAATTAATTTTTTTGCTATTTATTAAAACTTAAATATAAGCTTATATGTATAACAGAGAAATATCCTTTGCTTCAACAAGATGGTACAACCTTCAGGTGTTAAAAAATATATATTCCCTGTGTAGTTATTATGGATACATAGTGTTGAGCGAAGTCTTTGGTTTTTTTTTTCTTAAAACCGAGAAATAATGGACTTTTACGATGTCCCGGGATAAGCGAGTCGAGATCATCTGTTTATATCAATATTAAGCACACTCGAATGGACTGATCATTTGTTCTGCTAATTTCTCCAATTAAACATCAAGGATAATGTTTTCCACTATTGCGGACCTACCCGTCTACGAAGTTTCGAATTTCCACACCAAACCGATTTTTTAAAACATGCGACGTTAATATGCGATCATGCAAATTTCTGCGACAAATATTCCAATTGAAAAAATGACTTAAACTGTTTCCGAGGTACTTATCAACTGAATATAATACAATAAACTCTCCTTTTCAGAAAGAGCTCTTCAAACTATAATTCCCTCTAACAGAAACTACTTTAAAGTTTAGTTATCCCGAAAAGACAGCTTGAATAGGTGGCACTATTGGTATTATTGGAGATAATAGCAAAGTGATGAATACAATTGCATCAGTTCTCGGACTACCTCAGCGGCTACGCTGGCACACTCGAATGGACTGATCATTTTTCTGCTAGTTTATCGCATTTAACTTCACGTACCCTTATGCCAAGTTTCGATGTTCAACACCTCACCGATTTCGACAAAATGCGATATTACTGTGCGAACATGCAAACTTTTGCGGCGCATTATACCACTCGAGGAAATTGACCAAAACTGTTTACAGCTCTCATACGCGTTATTTTTCAGATTAATATACATTTCACTCACCTTCTCGGAAAGAGATGTTGGAACTGCACTATCCTACTCTGACAAAAACCATTTTGAAGCGTCATTTGGAAATGGCAGGGGCGCCATTTTCGAAAAATCCTCGAAGTTGCGCACTTCTCTCTTCGTGACGTCACGATGGCCAAGATCATCCGGACAAACAAACTACCAGGTTCACCACCCCCCTTGGTTGTGATCAATTGACAGCTGTCAAAACAGGGAATTCGCTGACCAGTATCACTTAAGGGCATCGCGGGCTCAAGTGTCGACCCATCGAAGTCAAGTATTTTTTGAAGTTATCCGCTGAAAATTTACTAGTTTTCAAATTATCGCCGGCTCAAGTTTATTTATTTTTAATTCATATGAAATATGTTGTGTTTATGTGCCGCACAATTAAGATTTTGATCTCAAACTGACGTCGGACGCGAAATTCAGCCACCTATTACAGGCAGGGAAGACAGCTGCTTTTGACTTTGCTCACTATGGTCACGCGATGTTCACATTCTACTTCCAATTTTTATGCCCTGATTGGTCAAAATTTGACAGGTGAGTTCATGCGGAAAATTTATGCAGCATCTTGAATCTTGTTTACTTTGACAGCTGAAGCTGACAGAGTTTTCTTAACCTGAGATCAGGCTCAATTTTCTTTTCGCATTGTAAATAACACTCCGGCGGGCAAGGCGAAACGAAAACAGAACCTGATTCAAACCTTCTACGAAACGTCTGCCGCCCACTTTTTTGATTGATTGACATTTCTTGAATCAGCCAAACAGAATTACTTCCTTTGCTTGTTTTTTTTAGTATGAAAATTACACCTCAGATGCCGCTTTCATCCTGTTATTTGGAAATTGGTCATCCGCGGTTCTATGGCTCAATTTCTTCTTTCAAAATTGCTTCTTTAGGTAGAGATGACCGTTAAAGAGCTTCAAGGTCACCCTAAAAAGCTTAAACGTACTTCCGCTTCAAATTCTGTTGCGGTGGCTCTCATGTCTTTATAACAGCAGTTCGCGAAGCCCCCTCCAGTCTTTGACCCCTACAGGGCTTTGACAGGGCTCGAGTCGTTGGTTGACTTAGCCCGGGACAATGCAGATCAGGCAAAGGCTAGATTTTCTCCACGCCAGGTTGTGACATTTTTCATGGACAAGTTTTCTAAGTTATGTGCTTACTTGCGTCACCGAGTGTTTCTTCATTCCATACCCGTCTTAGAAAGATATATCTGAAGCCGTCATCTGGCATTTTTCTGTCTCGACTTTTACTTAGATAGCCTACCTCATGAGTATTGATTTTCGAGAGGGGTTTCTCTTTCGTGCTACGGACCCTAAGGATTGCGTGTCTCCAAAGCCCTTCGTGGACGCTACTGTAGCTTACCGTCTTCGCCTTCATCCCAAGACGTTAAATATTGACGGCGGGGAAACCATGCACAGTTTTAGGGGAGGTTGTTCTATGAACCTGTCCCTTCTAGGTGCCTCTGATGACCAAGTGGCTGGGGAAGTTTGTTGGAAAAGTTATGGATATGGCGCTTCAAGCTTCTCTCCTTGCCCAAGGCTCTGTTAGAGGGGAGAACTGAATTCCTCGCGCGGGTTCATTAAGGGCCAAGTTCCGTGCTCGCAAAACATCGACAATATTCACACTGAAAAATAGTAGCCATGGTGGTATGTATGTTGGGCATTATTTTGGAAAATTTAGCATCCCTTCAAAACATTGAATGTTGTAACGAGGATTTTTAGCAGCACGTAAGCTGAGTTCGTCTTGAAATTTCAAGGTTTTGCAGTGAATCAATCTTAATGAAAGTTTCAGACATTATTATATAATAGTGAAAATTATATGATGAGGTTTAAAAAGAATTCTGTCTTGCCGTTCTAGAGATACAGCTATTTCGACGAAGGTTGTCGGATAAAGTGCACGCGACAACACCGAAAGGTGTTGTGGGTGGTTTTGTGTTCACTGTTTTTCAAAGAAATTTGAAAGTATGACATGAGAGCCCATGGACGTATGTTTGCGAGTGCTTAAGGAAAGCAACAAAAGTCGGAAAAACTGTTTGAACGCAGAGGTCCACGCAACGTGTAAGTATAACTGAATGGTTCCTCTTGCCGGATCTCTAATTAAAGACATACTGTGGTCAGACGTCTCTTAAAGTGTAAAATAAAACAAAACTGAATGCAGGGCTGGCACTACCGCAAAGGGCTGGTTTATTATAGGCCAATATTTCGGCTAACAAAATGAGCCTTCCTCAGGGCCAGAGCTTTACTGAGAGAAAATATCTTTTAACAGCTCCTATACCTATACTATAATCCAGCCTTACCTGACATCCATGACATACTCCGCAAGAAACGACCCATTTTGTAATCCACCGAACGCTTAAGAAACATCTTTTAAGAAGTACCTGTCGTCGCTTTCCGCCGTTTACCAAACTTTCGTGACCTCCTCGTTCGTTCGAAACTCGCAAACAACGACAGCACACCCAAGCCCCCTGCCATCACATTCCATCCGTTGCAACTCCAGACATGGCTGCCTCACCTGCCCACACATCAACAATGGAAAGACATCATACACTTTCACCAAGACAGGAGAAACAAGACAAATTAAACATCACATTACTCGTGACTAAACAAACCTAACATATATGATCCAATGTAAAAGATGTAAAAAAACAATATAAAAATGAAACTAAACCCACACTTCATGAATACTTTAATAAACATAGACAGGCAGCAAACAATCCACTCCACGCAAACGTCACAGCAGCACTCCCTCTCCACTTTAATCAACATGGCACTCGATCGCCGACATGGAACTTATTCCGCTGGAATTACAACCCACCCTCAGGTTGTCACACCTTAAGGCAAGAGAAGCGCACCTCATATATAGAGACAAAACCCTGTCACCAGACCGTCTGAACCGAAGGAATGAACATTGAACTGTTTCTATTTCTATTTTTATTGTATAATCATTTACCTGTATGTTATTCTATAGGTATTAATAATTGTCGTTTATGATTAACCACTTATGTAAATTTTAAATTCAAATTTTTTTAGCCGAAATATTGGTCTATAATAAATCAGCCCTTTGCCGTAGTGCCAGCCCTGCATACAGTTTTGTTTTAACAAAAGTAGGTTTGACAGCTACAGTGTCAGGGAACAGTGTATTGTTCATATCCTTTATTACCTTTCGGAATTGTCACGTGCACATTTTTTCTCACAACCTTCTTCGAAATAGCTGTATACAGAAAAGCGTGGAAAGCCAAAATTTAGAGCAAACTTGCACTTACACAGATGGTGAGAAAACAGGTTAGGTTTCAGGATCACAAGAAAGAAACTGACACCAAAATTTCCCAGTTTCTAAGTATGATACTGGGCAGCATTCTGACGCTTCTTGAGATTAATTTCAGGTGTTTAGAGCTTTTATATTAACAATTTGTCACGTGAAAATATAAAGTTTGAAATATACTTACTTTTTACCAGGCGGCTCTGCCATCAGTAGCAGGTCTCGAATTTTATCGATTTCAAAGTTTTTTTGTTTATTGTTATCACAGTGATACTGATTTTACTAAAAACTGCATTTTGACAAATCTAAATTTATTGTCAATCGCTAGTGAAAATTTTAAAGCGATCGGACAAGGATAATATCATTTTTTAAGGTGATTAATAAATATCTGTAAGGCCTCCGAAAAACTCTAATGAAACACCTTCAACCTCTGGTATGTTGTGAGTTGTATCCCATAATTTTGGCATAAGATAGTTCGGTTTTGACTCCGAGCTGCAAAGGGGTTATTGTTATTCAGTTGCTCTTGTAATTGTATTGTTTTGGAACTGCATACAGCTACTTTGTACTCGAGCTAGTTTACACTCTGCGAAGAAATTCCTTCTATTGTTCCCAGCAAGATGTCAATCTGGAATCACTGGATTGCAAGTCCGATGCTCCAGCTGGCACCTGACACGTTGCCCCCCTTTATCGTTCGATTTTTTGCCACAATTTTCGAAGCTATGTAAGACTCTTTTTGCAATCTCCCGTGTAAACTAATGGCGATTTAACCATTGACGGCCGTGCCTGGAAAAACCGGCCATACAAGACTCGGAGACTCCACTGCTTTAAAACATCGCAACTTTTTACCCGGGCAATCGTGCGAACATTGCCTTTATTTCACTCTTGAGCAGACACCTTGTGACGGTTTTGGACGCAATCTTGACGAGTGGGAAACCGTGTGAGAAATTAGTGTTTGTATGAGAATCTAATGTCGAATAATTTCTTAAAACGGCTATTCTGAAAAAAAAAATGAATTGTAAACTAAATCTTCACTCCTAACGATTCTGCTGAAAAATTTTGAGACCGTTACATGCAGCCTAATGCGCTAGAACCAATTTTTAAAATTTTCCGTACATTTGTCTGTAAAAATTTCTCTTCCTACCGACTAAAATTACCCTGGAAAAATTTGCAGACAAATTTATGGAAAATCTAAAGCAAGCGTCTGGAGAAATTCAAGCACAGTTACGGCCCCCCAAAATTTGCTAGTAAAATCCTTTGCTGTGTAGCTTTGGTTTACAAGCTCTGTCTCCACTCTCAAAATCACAGCGTTTGCCGAAAGATGGTATTTTGGCATGGTGGAGAAAATGCCCATTTCCAGCGACATGCGTGGAGACATTTCGCTTTTAAACATTTACTGAGGTGTAGCGGTGATAGAACTTTGCCTACAGTTGAAAAAATCACACAAAAAATGACTACAGAGAAAAAACACAGGAATACATCAAAGGTAAGTCTCCTTATTTATACAATGATATTTAGCGTTTGGAGACCTCAGTATTTTATTCGTCATATAACGTCTCAACGGTGCCTAGTCCCTGTACGGCGTTTTGCTAGGCCCTCTCGGTCAGTTCACTTAGGCAAGTGACATATCCGAGGCGAACGGGCGGGAAACGCCTAGACAAAAACAGAATGCGCATGTGTTCGTTGCTTTTTGAAATTCAAGATGTCGTAAACAAAGGAAATTACGGTTTTTTTAAATAGCCTTGTGGATATTTGCGAGAGCGACTTTTGTCCACCGGCTTTAAAAAGTCATTGGAATGGACATTGATTTCTGCTCCTTCAATCTCATCATTTCAAATGAACTATCGGAGCCGATTTAAACGGCCGCGCGAATTTTCAAAGTAAAAATAATACTTTAGTGACCCTCTGCGAAGTAAACTTAGGGCGCAAATCTTGAATAATCAGAAAAACATGCTTTCAAATAAAATTCATTAGCTGCGTATCGAAAAATGCCCAAGAACTGAACCTAAAAGTAAAAGTCCCATAAAATTCGCTGACATTCGCTAGTGATGCGTGTAATGTGAGAAGCAGTAAATTCAACTTGGATGCTGTATCAGGATCGTGTTTTGAGCTAATTTTATCAATGAAAGAACACACAAAACAACAGATAGAGAAATCACTTCTCGAAACATTTTATTTAAAAACCCATAAATTAATCCTTAAAATCAATTCGCGTAACAAAAACTTGGCCCGTGGATCCGTTCTCGCAAGAAAAATCGGCTGAGCACATTGCAAAAACTATTCAACACAAATCTCAAATAGTCCCTGAAGCCGATCTCAAAATGTACATAACGAGCCGCACCGTCTTAGCAACCAAAAAAATTTTGTTTATCAAGCTGAGATAGGGGACTAAAAGTCCCCTATCTCAGCTGGATACTCAGAAGCTTGTAACATTCACTATTCCATTTATCTCTGATCATATTTCGCATCTAATACGATAGAGGCGTCAATTTTCGCGCCATCATGTCATCATCCTAGGGCGAGAAATTTAATTAAAAGCGCGGCATCCAACAAATGTACGGCTCACGTTTCGGCTAAAATTATTCAGTGCCGTCAAAGAAAAAAACGTATTATTAAGATCTGCGAATAAAGTCGATCACATTGCTAACACAGACAAAAACGCTTAAATATCTCCTACGAAATGAACGGCTGAGTTTGTTTTTTCTACGGGTCAA